GGGGGGAGGTGCGACACACCTTCCTAGTGGTGCATGTGGCGGGAGTGGGACCAAGGGCTTGTGAGCGTGGGGCAGAGGGTTGGGGTGCAGGAGGGCGAGGGCTCTGTCTGGGGGTGCAGTCTCTGGGGTGTGGCTGGGGACAGGGATTGGGGGTGCAGGAGGATGCTCAGGGCTGGTAGGGGCTTGGCCTTACCTGCCTGGCACCTTGCTGGGGATGGCAAGCAAGGGCCCTTCCCCCGGCCGTGGCAGCTCCGTGCGGGTCTCCTCCCGCTGGCCCCAGCAACCTCTGGGCTTGATGCTGCAGCCCTGAGCCTCCGCAGGACTTACGAGGAGGCTGCGGGGAAGGTAGGCAGTGATGGGAGCGTTGCTGCGTGCCCCAGCCCAGGTCCATGCCCCTGGGGGTGTCGCCAGCACAGCCGCTTGGTGGGACAGCCTGATGTGCAGGGCTCCTGGGCGGCAGAGTCCTTGTTTGTGCATTGGGGTGACACGGGTCCCTCCCCGCAGCTCCCGACAAGCTGTCCGAGAAGCAGAGGAAGCGCAAGAGACTGCGCTACCCCTCGGCGACGGCGCAGTACAAGAGGGGGAGGAGCGAAGACGCCCTGGGGGAAGCGCCCAGCTCGGAGGTACAGTTCGTTCTCCTGGGGGCTGCAGGCTGTAGCCCCTGCTCTCCCCTCCTCCCGGAAAGGCACTGCTGTACTGTCTGTGTGCCCTGACCACCCCTTGCAAGGACTGATGGGACCCTGGAGCGCAGCCTTCCTCTGGGGCTGTTGCTCAGTGAAGGGCGCCCAAGAGACGGCTCATCTGGAGCTCTGCCGTGCCGCTGTGGGAGGGGAGGCCTTGGCTGCAGCCTCGGGGCGTTGGCTTCTTGCGCACTAGAGTGGGGGTGGCCCGCCCCCCCCCCCTCCGCCGCCGCCGAAGCCGGTCCTGGGGAGGTCAGGACTCCTGGTTGCTTTCCGGCCACTCCTGCCCCATCCAGAGCTCAGAGGCCTCCCGTGGGTGCTGTGAAAGCAGCCTGCCTCTGGCAGCCTCCCAGGAGTGAGTCAGGTCTCCCCACACCCCGGCCTGGCAGATGACACCACTTGACCCACAGCCGGTCCTGGCCAGCGGTATCTCAGGTGCCAAGTGTAGGCCTTCCCCTGCCTCTCTGCTGCAGGGGCTCCCAGCTGTTCACCCCGGCTTGTCGGAGCAAGGCTGCAGCCTGCCGGGGGTAGTTCCGGAGGTTCCGCTTGCTTGTGACGCTTGGCGCCAGGCTGGTCTGCTGGCAGCCAAGTATCTCCGCGCAGGCGAGTGCCAAGGGTCCCGTCGCAGATGCCCCTGGCCTGGGAGTGGGTGTGCAGCCGGGAGTCCTCTCTCCGGTGCTGCGGGGGCCCATACAGCCACGTCTGGAACAACAGGTGCTCTGGGGCAGAGGGAACCTGCCGCTGAACTCTGTCTCCCTCGCCTGCCTGGGAAGCCCCACCTGCAGCGGCAGGCAGGGGAGAGATGGCGCTGGCGTGGCACAGCCCAGGCCATGCCTGCTGGGCTCCCAAGGGCTCCTCGAGGAATTGTGGGCAGCAGAAGGCTCAGGAAGAGTGGCTGGCCGTTGCCCGTGGTACGTGGCTGTTCTTCGCTCGCTGGTCAGGGCTGGGATCTTAGCAGAAATGGGCCGTTGGGGAAGTCTCCTTGGCAGCTGCCTGCTCCATCCCCAGCTCGCCTGGGTCAGCCCTGCATGTGGCTGCAGGGAGCTGCGTGCCAAGCCGGAGCAGAAGGCCCAGACACCCAGCATACAGGGACCGGCTGACGCAGGAGGGGTTAGGGCCAACCCTGAAGTAAAGTGTTCAAGCTGGAGCATTCTACTGCAGTAACCCACATGGGGGCATCGTGCCCCCGGCTGTGCAGTCTCTCCTGCCCCCCCCCCCGTACGTATCTGCTCCTGTCCGGCTGCATTCTGTGCTCCACTGATGCTGGGAAACACAGGATCAGCGTTACTGTAGCAAAGTGAGGAGGGCCATGTGGGCGAGAGGGCTGCAACGACCCTGTCTAAAGCCTGCAGTGCCCCTCTGCAAACACCCAAGACAGCGACTTCCCCCAGACCTCCCTGGTCATCCGCGCCCAGCTGGATGGCTGGCCTGACTCCTTTCTCTACTATCGCTCCAGCTCCGTGAGTGTTCTGCAGGGATCAGCGTTACTGTAGCAAAGTGAGGAGGGCCATGTGGGCGAGAGGGCTGCAACGACCCTGTCTAAAGCCTGCAGTGCCCCTCTGCAAACACCCAAGACAGCGACTTCCCCCAGACCTCCCTGGTCATCCGCGCCCAGCTGGATGGCTGGCCTGACTCCTTTCTCTACTATCGCTCCAGCTCCGTGAGTGTTCTGCAGCAGGACCCTGGCCTGGGCCTCGCTAGCCTGGCTAGGTCCCGTGAGTGGTGCCCAAAGGGAATCCTCAAGGGAGCAGACGTCCGGTAGCCTGCGAACCCTGCCTGGTCTCCATTACGGGGACCACTGCCGTGTGCCGGAGCGGGACAGGGCTGGCATCGGAGAGCAGCCAGGGCTGGCCCCCTCCCCAGGCGCCAGGGGAATGGAGCGACCTGCCCCTGGAGCTGCAGGGCATGTATAGAGGGGTCTGTGCTGCTCGAGGCAGGAGCCAAATGGCTTTGGAAAGACTG